ACAGCTGTGGTATTGTTGCTGGCCACCTCAATCCACTGATTGTGGAACTTGGGGCAGAAGGTCTTGATGGCCAGCATGACGGCCTGGAGCTCCTTGTGGTGGATAGGCCACTTGGCTTCCTGGCTGACAAAGCTCCCCCTTGCCTTCTTGCCACTCTCTGGAACCCATGCACCCCAGCTGTAGCCACTGGCCTCCGTCTTGATGGTCATGACCCACGATGGCTGCCACAGAGGCGCCCTGTTGATCAGCTGCATGTTGGTGGTGATCCACTTGAGGTCCTGCTGAGCTTCTGCAGTGAGGGGCTTGTGCTGGTTCCAGTTGTGTTGTCCACAACCCATCACCTGATATGTGGACTGCAGGTAGAGTTGTAGAATGGGGGCTGCCTTTGCAATGGTGTTGATTGAACCTGCCAGCTGCACCAACTGCTGCTTGGTGTGGCACCACTGAAGGTGCTCCTGCACCATGGCCTTGATGGTGTGTAGTTTCTTGAGGCTGGCCTTGAATCTGCTGCCTGCCAGGTTGATGATCAGCCCCAGCACCTTGGCATGCTGTGTAGGCTCCCACTCCCCTTTGGTGGGCTCCCTGAGCCAGCTGAGGCGCTTGAGGGTGGGCACAATCACCTGGTCCCTGATCCACTGAAGCTCCACCTTGCTTGGCGCCAGCACCATGAAGTCATCAATGTACACCATGCACATGACTCCTTGCCAACACCAGAACATGATCATGGCCTTCATGACGGGACCAGTGCAGGCTGAACAGCAGTACCTGGTAGTGGTACCACTGCTGGCCTACCTGAAAGCTGAGGAGTCACCTTGCATTGTCATGCTCCTCCTCAAGGTGGTAGGCCTGCTGCATCTTGTGTACTGCCCTGGCCAACTGGATGGGCATGCCTTGGGCCACCCATGCTAGCACCTGGGCTGAGGCACTGATCTTGACCCACTTGCTGATCTGGGAGGCTAGCTGACTGATGATGGAAACCTTGTGACCTAACCTCTTGCCATGCAAGAGAAGAAAAAACTTGCTGGCTCACCAGCCAGCCTCCCCCTATAACACCACTACACTGCTCACCAGTGGTGCACCAGCTCACACTTGGTGATTGCACCACTGAGTGGCCACTTCTCCTTGAGAAGCTGGTGTCACACTGGGTGAGTGCTAACCACTCATGATAAAGTATGTTTCTGTTTACACAGAAACTACACATTTTTCCACATGTGAGACAATGAGACAGCAACAGTGTGGCTGGGGTGGTGGAAACAAGTGGGGCTGTGATCAGGGAAATGATCCTAACTGCCATCTCCACCCATGCCTTCCTGATCTCAAACCCCTGTGCAAGTGAAAGAGGCAGCAGTGAGATGGTGAGGACAACAATGCATTCAAATGGAGGAATCATGAGGAGGAAGAGTGGGAAAACCTGGCTGATGAGTTTAGTGAGTCAGATTATGTGTACTGGCCCAATTTCTGCTACCCTGAACTGTGTGCACCCTTCCTGAGCTGCAGATCACTGAGGAGTTTGAGTGTGTCATCCAGATGTTGCCCTATTGCGCCAAGTACCATGAACAGTGTGAGCGTGCCATCCACTTGGTCAAGGTGGTGCCCTGTTGCAGCCTGGGTGACTTCTACCTGCTGATGCAAAAGGAGATCGAGGTCAACCAGTGTGTGCTGGTGGGCAAGTTGCTGCTGGAGGATCTCATTGATGACGGCTTGGCCAAGGAGAGCATGCTCCTGGTGCAGTCCTACCTGGAGAGTGATGTGAAGCTCCTGTGGTACGCCATCCATGGCGTCACTGACAAGGGCAAGATAGTTGATGGCAGCAGCCTGTTGTGGGCGTGCCCAGGGCCACCTTTGACTCTGACCTCAAATTCACCATGCATTTCATGAGTGACCTCAAGCTCAAGGGCAGTGGCTGGCTGCACATCCCTGCTGGGTGCTACAACGTCCATTGCAACATGCCCATCCTGCAGCTCATCAAGTTGATGGACCAGGCCAACAAGAGCAACCTCTTCAAGTTGGGCTTCTATCCCAACCATGTGATTGGGATGCAGGCCATCGCCAACACACACTGGATGGACATCTTGCCTGCTGACAACATCACTGAGTACCCACCCATGCATGTCATGAGCTACGATTTGGAGAGTAAGTTGCTTGACACCAAGCTCAAGTCCCACAATCTGAAACTGTTAAATTGGCAACCT